AACACACACACACACACACACACACACACACACACACACACACACACAGGGATGGATCCAGAAATTGTTCAAAGGTGGGGGAAAGATGCGTAATACATTATATATAAAAATAGGATATGTGTATGGTTAGTTGTGGTTTTAGGAACAAAGTTAAATTTTATAACAATTAAAGGAATAAAATAACATAATATTATGGTTTTAGAAAACAAGAGTTTATTTTATTTTATAATACAAAATCAACTTTTTGTTTAGAAAATCTTTTAGTTATATTTTTTATGTTATTTTCACTGTTAATATTTACATCATTATATATAACAGACAACCCTGTAAATCTTTTTTTTTTTCATTATTGCCCTTAACTACGTTTTAAGCAGCCTTCGTTAGGAAAAACTTCTTGCTGCTGTTGCGACAGAAATTGGTAATGTAACCAAAATGTTAAGAAATTATGTGTATTAGATTGTAATTTTGATTTAAATGATTTAATGTTTTATGAACAGAATTTATATTTTTCAACTCGGGAACTATTGTTTTTTTTCACGGAAATGACCGAGACTACGTGTGACGTGCGGTAGTCAACGATTGTCTGTAGTAACGAAATAATGTTTTAATCATTTTTATTGCAGTACACACTGTATAATATTATTGATTGATACAATATACAACACAATTATTACAAGAAATTATAACCGATTCTGTATGATGTATATCTTTCATATTATTCTATTGGTAGATGAAAAGTTTAGGATTTTTAAATGATTAATATTAGAAAAATTGAATAGTTTTTTGCTGTGTATGAAAAAAAACCATTTTGAAGTATTTGGGTGGGATGTACTCTCCTCTTGAATCCGTGCCTGTACACACACACACACACATGCTTTTAGATTTCCGCACAGGTATTTTGAGGTAATGACGACGCGGTGGATGCCGAGTTAGATGTGCGTCAAAGGTGCGAATGGCCTTTGGGACGTGTATTAAAGGCACACGAACCGGAAGAGAGAGAAAGAAAGAGAGTGAGAAAGACGGAACCATGGTCGGTTTGTATATTAAATTCTTCGCTGCCGTCCGTATAACCGAAAACTCTCTGGTCCGTCATGATGTATAGGTACACATATACGCCACCGTCGTGATACGTATATATGTATATAAATGGGATTTGATGTGGTTTTGTCGTTTCGAATTTTCCTCGACCGCAGCAGCATGGTATACGTACCGGCTAGGTAGGTACGGGTAAGAGGAACCCTGAACCGTAGTTGCGTAACGTTGTCGCCAAATGTTTTTTTCCAGCCGACCAAACGGATGTAATAATGCCATGACGGCGTGCGTGCTAACACGCCCAAGTAAAGCAATTCGTGAATTTCGTTGTACACGAACTTGGATCGTACACAAATATAATAATAATAATAATAATAATAATAATAATAATAATAATAATATCAAAATATACGGTTAGTAATAATACAGGGGGTGGACAAAATAATATGAACACCTGAAATATACGCAATTAATTTATTTATATTTATATATTTATTTATTAATAAGGTGTTGGGCCACCGTTTGCTTTTACAACACTTTCAATCCTTCGCGGAACAGATTCGTAAAGGACCTGAATAGTTTCCAACGGAATTTCGTCCCATTCTTCTACCAAAATATCCGCCGAATGCTTCAGTGATGTTGGAGATACAGTACAAACAACATGCAACAATATGCAGCTATATTGCATGGTGTTCATATTATTTTGTCCACCCGTATGTGCTCATATGTTATAATAACAAGTTTTCCGTCCGAACGAGACCTTTATTCACATGCACCTTGAGCTCACACAGGTTCGCACACCGTACGGCATGATTTGACAAAAAATCCGTTTTCAAAAAGTGTGAAATGTCTGTATAATCTCTACTGTTCGATTTAATAGTTTATAATATAAATAATAATAATAATGTTACTTGCTTAAGATAACAATATAATACACGCAAAATAATAGTAATAATAATAATGCGAAAATATTGCGGTCTGATAGTTATTAACAAACACGTCTTCGTACAGATATATCTTGACGATAGATCACGAGCGAATCCAAGTATCGAAATTGGGAACAGTTTTTGCTCACGAACACTCAGCAGTGAAACCAGAAGTTGCTATAGTTTATCATTTAACCGTACCTATTTTAATCTTTTAATGCACAGCGTTTTGTCCGATTGCCGTCGCGAGCATAATTAATTAGTTGAACATTTCGTTTGTGCACCGTAATTTCCCGCGAACACTACATCGTTCCGAGATAAAACGCACACGGAATTATATTATTTGTCAATGGTTTAGTTTGCGGAATGTATCTAATCGTAGTTATCATCTATGTAGCTGTGTTTTTCGTGTCAAATAGGTGGGCACATTCGATACATCTGTAAAACCTGCCAAGAGATTAACCCATTTATTGGAGAAACTGTTTGAGTGCGATTCAAACTTGTGTGCCTTTGATGAAGTTTACCCTATGTTGAAATATCTAAAACACGCAAAACCAGGAACAAGTCAACTTAACGCGAACAAAGGTCCAGGCGTAATGCCAAAGGGAACACGTGTTATAATACCGTAATCTCATAATCTGTAAAATAAAATTCAAGCCGTAATTACATTTAATATTTGATGGGTTTCTCTTTTACTTACTTATAATGTGATTACTAAATAAATGATATGTGTAGTTACAACGAAACAGCACAATGTAATTTAATAATAATAATAATAATAACAATCATCAAGTATTTTATGATTTTGTAAAAAATCATTTTGTTCTTTAATCTCTCTAATGTATACGCTTTTTTAAATTTAAATTTACAAAATGAACATACATTATATTACTTTACTATAATACTTAATAGTTGTAAACATACCGCCTGGATTCATGTTAGTCCTTATTCTTTTCTGAAGTTATTCATTAAACTTTAAATAATCCTATGAATATTATCTGCGTGTGTGTAAATATAAATATAAATGTAAATATAAATATGTATACATACTATACTTGGATTTACTCTTTGAAGCAATTGCTTAAATTATTTGATTGCACAAGATGTAGCTTTTATATTGTTTGACGGTTATATTATGTATTTAACCAAGATTCAAGATAAAACGTTAAAAATAATAAATGAATTATATTTTACACCTTATATGTAACTTATTTCATAATAACAATAAATAGATATTGGTTATTTATGTTAGAAATGTATTATCATGGGCTTAATACTTCATTTTAAATAGCATATAATATGCATATATTATAGTTTGTATTTGAAATTATCAAAAAATGGAATAATTAAAGAAGTTTAATTTTAAAACCATGAAAGTGGGTATCACAATTAAATGTTATGAAAATATATAAAAAATAGTATACATAGAAATAAAAAATATATTTCAACGTGATCTTTGTCTTTTATATATTTTGTATTTGAAAACTGTTAACAATAAATGTTTGTCAAATATGTGTCGTAAGTTTGAATATTGTGATATTTAATTTGTATTATTTTTTAATTTTAAATAATATCATTTACAATCAGTACGGTTTTATAATTAAACTGTCAAAAACTTAAAGTCTTATAGTTTCTTTAAATGAAAAATCGAACATAAGAGCTTAATTTTTCGTTTTAATGACCATAGCTTAAAAAAATAATTTTCTAAATGTCAATCAATATGCGTTTAATTTCCAAGGCATCCGGGAAAAGTAAGTCTAAGAAAATAAATATAAGCTTTGAACGAAACGAAACAAAAATTTGTAAAGTTTTATTTTACATTTTTTATTTATCTTAAAAAACAAAATAATAATAAATAAATAAATGAATAAATAATTTATAAATAAAGAAAAATGTTAATTCAAAATTGTTTGATATTATAATAAAAATATTTTTGGCATCTTTAGAAGTTAATGCGTATATAGTTAAATGAGTTATAAAAGGTTAAGTTATCAACCAAAATACACTAATGATTTGTTAAATTCTAATTATCGAGCTAACCTTTTTTGTTGTT